GATGGCATACAAGCATGCGTTCATGTTCAATTCTAATCAAAATAAGTGAGAAATTGCTGAGTTTTTCTTGTAGCTCCTATAGTACACCTGTTGTACGAGAACACAGGGGCTGCTATTGCTAACCTATTTAAAAATACTAATTGCCTGGCTGTTATGTAATTTCACTGACTTGTAACATGGATGCAGACTAAGAAAGCCAGAGAGAAGTCAGAGACTCATAGGGGTGTAATAATAAACTGTGCCCTGCGAATGTCTGAACGTTCATTTTGTGCAAATAATGGTAAAAACCAATGTTAATATATTTTCTTTTGAGAATGAATGTATTGTGATGTAATACTACATTATGGCCACTAAATGGAGCATGGGAAATAAGTATTATCTATGCCCCTCAGCGCTATCTAGTGGCCATAATGCCGTATTACATCACAATACATTTGACCTACAATTTAAACCAATTAAGAATATTTGTTTTTGCCCTTTGCACAAAAAAACACCTAACATTAGCTGCAGCCCTACTATATTTATTACCTGGAGAAAGCCATTTTAGGAACTGTATTTGATCAAAGAATGCAGCTTTTCCTTGCTGTAATATCAACCTATCATGCAACAATATGCAGTATTCCATAGGACCCACATGCAAAGCACTGATCAAAATGGACCTGTCATGGTTGCTCGGGTCTACAACGCATGAATCAATCAATTTCCAGTGAGGGACTGTTAGGATTTAGCACAGACCCTTTTGACAATGATGAAGCAGATATTTAGGGGTTAACTTATCAATGGGGAGTAGGCTAAAGGTTAGACTTGCGGACAAAAGCTAGAGCGGTCTGGATGTTATTAGGAATGTTTGAAACCTTCTTCACTTCCTGTGCTGAACCTTCCCCACTCTACTTTTTTTTTTTTTTTAAACTGCTTTTCTTGTCATTCATGTTCATACAGGAGAGATTATCTTTGCTTCTGGACTTAATGATAGAAAAGAAACAAAGGAAATCTCCTCAGGGATGAACACAAAGCAGTAAAAACCTGGCAGAGGCTCTAAATATTTAAACACTATGGAAAAGTAAAACCAAAAGTAATAACTCTCCTACTCTAAAAGTGGACCGAAGCCAAAACCTTTTTTTCTTCTTCAAGTGCTAGATTTGGCGGTTACGTTTTAGGTAAAAGTCTGTCATGAGAGGTGTATGGGGGGGCTGCCATTGCTGGCCTTCTGAAACTGACAATTGCCTGGCTGTCATACTGATATGGTGGCTTTGATGTTTTCTGAGTGACCGACTTCAAAACAAGAGAGTGGAGATATGGTGCCTCTAAGTAATGAAGCAAGACCCAGCCAGGGACCCAAAGTAATGAAGCAAGACCCAGCCAGGGACCCAAAGTAATGAAGCAAGACCCAGCCAGGGACCCAAAGTAAGACGCAAGACCCAGCCAGGGACCCAAAGTAAGACGCAAGACCCAGCCAAGCAACTAGCTTTTCTAGAAGGTGGCCAGCAATGGCAGCCTCCATACTTCACTTACAACAGAGTACTTAAAAAATAAATACTCATGTCCAGGTCATGGATAGCTTAGAGGATGAAGGCACAGGTGCTAGGAGTGCAAGCAACACTTTAAGTGTTCTGTGACACCTGGAGCAGAAAACTATGGCCCATGTAGGTGAATGGCACAACAAAAACTGTTAATACAGAAAACATATAGATAAAATACAGCAAGATTCCAGAAGAAATACTTTTTAAATCATGGACAATATGGTGCGCTAGTATTGGAACATTGTCCAGAGGCAACAACAGGGCTTATAACATGGTAAAAAGGGACACCAGTTACTTGTAGCAGACAATTATTAACTTCCACTAGAATAGTGTAGTCAGACTAGCGTCAGATGATTTGTGACTGGTCATTGTAGATAACAGTGCTACGCACCACTCTTTGCGTATTATACAATGCTCAGTGTTCCTTACCTATAAGCCCCTACAGGGAAACTAGACCTCCAGCTTTTGAGAAACTAAAGCGGACAGCCAGACATTTTTCCTCAAACAGCCTAACAGCCTGTAACAGGAACAATCCATTAATATGCCCCACAGAAACATGAACATACAGTCCGTTCAGAATGGCTTTTGCAAAGTTTGTGGGCACTATGATTAGTCACCATGTCAGGCTTAGTGTTTGCAACCAGGCACCACGGTGTAAAATATATCAATCTATAAAGATTGAAAGCCTTCTATGTTAATAGTCATAGCTTACATCAATTGACAAATGAACATTTCAAATATATTTTACATTTACACAGTCCTATTAAATGTGACATTTGTCGTATCCTATCATATTAAATGTCTATTTAGATGTCGAATTAAAAGTTAAACTTCATGCAGAACTGAAAATCTGGTTTTGGGAAGAGCGCCCAAAAGAAAAGACATTCAGAACTGAAAATTCCCTGGGGTCAGGTGTTTACATAATCAGGAAAGTACAAGCTTCTCCCTGCCCTACCTGTACCCAGCATTTCCCCTCTAGTACTGGGTGGTGTATTGTTAGAATCCAGTCCCCTGCCTTACTGCAGAAATACCAGGTCAGCATAAGAGACAGGATTCATGGCTGCACTGTTCTCTCATGCAATGCCCAAACTCCTTCAGGGTTATTCACAAAGGGGTGAAGAGTTTGGAGAAGTGAACAATCTAGGACAACATAGCTGATTTGAAAAAATTCTCCAATTCAGCTCACTTTCCAGTTCAGCTATGTTGTCCTAGATTGTTCACTTCTCCTGCCTTCTCCAAACTCTTCACCCTTTTGTGAATAACCCTGCATGTGTTCTTTTAAAAAAATCAAACATTTAGATTGAGAGCAGAATCACTCAACAGAGCAGACAGTGGGACCACTCAACACACTGCAGACAAGCAAACCATAGGACCTTGCTTAAAGTAAACCCGTCAACCCTTTTAAACTTTTATAAAGTCCTTCCTAAGTGCAATTGCAAGATACCTGCTATTGCCTTTATTAGCTAGAGAAGCCTCCACTGTGCACATATTGGAAACTAGTGTCCTTTTATTATGAAGGCTCTGACCTCGCCCAACTTCAGAGCTAACCCCATCCAACTGCGATTCCCCTGGCCAATCAAATGCCCTTAATGGCCATGGAAGCACTTTCATACAAAAGGAGGCTTTACGGGCAAAATATATGTAAAACCAGACATTTTGTGGTGCCTAATCTTAGACAAGACCTTTAACTTTTATAAAGGTTAAAATTGCAGACAGGTTTAGTTTAAAGCAGTGGTTCTCAACCTGTGCAACCTCCGGGCCCACATTTGTCCTTTGTCATTAAGTTGCAACCCAAGTCGCATTGCAATGGAACGCACGGCATTGTGGTACTGTGCGTTCCGGTGAGGGCGATTGAACTCTGGGCGAGAGGCGAGTTTGGGGTGCCTTTCAAATGAATGGCAACACAATGCACCTCCCACACCAGAATGTGCAGTAGGTGCAATTGCGTGGAATAGTGCGTTAATGGCACAGGACTGTTCGATTAATGCACTGTACTAGTGTGAACGGGCCCTCAAAAACACTGGCAGACACAATCTCACACACAAGCTCAGACGCATACACACATTCCCCCCCCCCCCAAAAAAAATTGAAGATCCACCCAGTCTCCCTAGAACTAGAACTGGAGTGGATCCTCAAGGTGGGGTTCCAGTGTGGGCTGTTGTGCTGTGAAGGAGCTTCATCCATACATGCATTGCTTGTACAACTCCCTTGTATACCGTATAGAGGTGCCGAGAGCCAGAAGGTAACATAACTTCGGTCCAGGTACCTCTACAGGAAATGCGAGGAGAATGTAAGCAATGCATGTATGGATGGATGGAGCTACCTCGCAACCATAGCCCCACCCCACCTCAAGCTGTCACTCAGCACAGGGCAGCACATTTTGAATGGCTGCTGGGCACGAAAACGGACAGTACTGCTCTAGGGGGAGGCTGAAGAGCCTCTTGCCTAGAAAAATGGAAGGCATGCAGCGACCCACTGAACACGGGGTCGTGACCCACTTTTGGGCCACAACCCATTAGTTGAGAACCAAGGCTTTAAAGGATAAGTGCACTTTCAATACGTATCCTTTCTTTTTCCTTGTCCCTGCAGCACGCTATTAAAAAAAAGTTGCTTGCAAGATTACCATTTTTCGCTGATAACCAAGAGTTTCAGTCAAGGGATGCCCAGCATGGAAGCAGTATGTTTATAGCCTTCTCTTTCTGCATTAGCTACTTCAGGCCACTGAAGGGGAAAAAGACAAAAAAAGGAGTGCCTACTGTGATAAATGAGCAACCCATCTCTTCTGTTCCCTTCAACCTCTAGTGGTACACACTGCAACCAGGCTGGAGGTTTCCAGGTTTGACACTCCAGGTTACCAGCAAAATATGCCTCTTTTGAAATTAACTTTTTTGAGCAGGCTGCAGGGAAAAGTAAGAATACAGTATAAGTACTGAAAGTGCAATTATTCTTTAAGTCATCTTCGGGACTTTGATTCCATTTGAAGACCAGTACCATAAAACTTAAAAAAGTTTCTTCTTGAAGATCCAATGTAGTCTATTCCTTCCTTGTGCGAGGAAATGCACACAAACAAGCTCTCCATAACATAAGTGCGCCTGATGAGCACAGCACCAAAGTCCAGAAACACTTAATCATTACATAGTGGCACATTTATTTTGTGCATTTCGTGCAAAAATCTGCAAATGAGGTAATAGGTCAATGGCCAGAAATAGTTATGTGTGCAGTACAGTGATTGCAGTGGACACAAAGCAGCTGTCTACAACATGTATATTGCACTTGGATCATTGTCTTCTGAGATACTATGGTAATAAGTAGCAATCTCTGCATCGATCCTTTCTACCAGTGCATTGTTGGGCTGATGAGAGGATTGATCGCAGAGTACCGAGATAATAACTATGTCTGGCCAAAACAAAAAACACACCGATACAGCAAACGTTGGAGTGCAACATATATAATAGAACAAGATGGCATTGGCTACACTTTCGCCTGGTTAGGACAACATATGACAATTCGGCCCTGAGATGCTAGTGAGGGTCTAGGAGAACTTAAGTTGGCTTGTGGTTGGCAATGCCGTTGGTATCCTCATGGATATTGTTTCTAGAGCAGTTGGCTGAATTACACACATATTGGTTAACTGGACACAGGCAGCTCCTAAGCATTTCCTCGGTCAGCCCCTTCTTAAGATTCTCCATTTGTTCAACTTTAAATAAATTTGCCTGTTCAGGATTCCAGTCATATATTCTGCAATTGGGAAAAAAAAAAGAAGATTGAAATATAAATGTATAATACAAATATGTATAGAACTCATTTGTTTTCATTTATCACAAATGTGCAAAAGTGTCTACTGCCCGCAGTCACCAATCACAATTCAGCAGCCATTTTTGTTTCCCTCAGAAAATGGCGAGATGATGTGATTGCACAGCATACTTTTCCTTTCAGGCACTATAAATAAATAAGCTTTTTAATTTGCCCCAGCGCGACATGCAAAGCTGGCCATACACAGACATACTGAGTGAGAGGTGAGGATACATTCCAGCTAGATCACTGTGAATTCAAACCTGACTTCAGAGTTTGCATAAAGCTGCTTTATTTTTCTGGAGGATCATACAGAGATTTTGAAGCATGCTGGAGCAACACTGTGTTGGCAATTCTGCCTAAGCACTAGTAACATACTAATAGCACATCTCAAGGCATCTGGGTTGCCTCTTTGTACATGGGAAGCCTCTAACGTGACAGTCTCTGTTCCCAGGAGGTGTATGAACAATTATAGGGTGAAACTGCATTGTAATGGCTACTTTGTATTTAGCATATGGATTACTAAATTTGGATTTCAGCCAGCATTTTGACTCTGCAGTCCAGCTATGAAGATTCAACACTGTCAAAATCCCCTCACCGATTTCTTTTAATCACTTCACACCCTACTGTGGTCCTGATGTAAGAGAACTACTGCTGATACTAATTGGGCCAATTCAAAGTTATGACAAACAGTAAAGAGACCCCCTCAATAAGCACCCTGGAGCTGGGAAGGTATAAAAGTTTTGTGTGAATCTTGTGTGAAAACGTTTATAAAACAAACCCCTGAGTCTTTTCAAACAGAGGGTCATTTTACTCTGTGGAATCTTCCTCTTTTAGGTATAAACACTGCTTCCCTGATAGCATATGCTCAGGTGTCAGCTGTACCCTTGGCAGTGCTAGAACCTAGCACTCATAGTGGATTTTGCCCTCATCAATAGGAATTCCTGGCACTAGCTGCAGAAATTAGTATAAATCAATCACATTTAAGGGGATTCTTTCAAATAACACCAGATAAAATTCCAGTCTTTCCTCTCGCTGAGCAGTACATTTGCTCCTGTTCATGCTTGCTGTACATGTTAATAAAGCATGTGCTGTACAGAAACAATTAGTGCTGCTGGCAATAATCAACACCGCCATCACAAAGCTACATTTATTATTTAAGCTACAGCAGCTGTATGCATAACTCTTATTTGGTTGTCTCTGTACATTCAGAGTTTTAAAAAAAGGGATAACATTGATCTTTTAGTCTACATGATACAGTTTGTGAGCATGCAATATGCCAACAAAGGGTGAGGTTTACAGTGTTACATATTTTCTAATTTAGAGTGTTCACTGCACATATTACTGAACCACATAGAAGCTGAACTCCAGGCAGATTTAAAAACACCATTTAATCCAGTAACGTTTTTTTTTTACTACACAAAAGTACCATAAATATCTGAATCTGTGTTGAACTCAACAACTGAACATGCTTAAAGCGTATCTAAACCAAAAAACTAAAAATTAGATATACTGCAGCTTACTAGTCCTTGGATATGGTGGCTGCATTCTCTGGCTTCTTTCACTTAATTTTATCCCATCAATAACACACTTCCTGTCCTAGGGTGTTCATGCTGGGAACGATGCAAACTGATAATGCAGCACAGGCACAGAGCACAAGAAATAATCAGCTTGGAGAATTGGCAGGATCAACAGGTATTTTCTACTTATTGAACAGATATACAGTAACAAAACGCTTTAAATGTTATATTTAACAGACAAAAAGGAGCAATTAAAAAGAAGTTTGTTAGGAATAATATACAACTTTAAAACATGGGAGGGCAGAATGATCAGTTTGTAATGTGCTGCATCTTTCCGATTGTTGAATCATATGCTGGCTTAAAGTGAACCTGTGGTCAAGCTATGCACACTAAAGTATTTACATATTCTGATTAATAAAAAGCAAGCCTTCATTCACCTTTGTATCTATAGGCAATGTGGAGAAATGAATGTTCAAATTTCACAACACGGGCGATTATATCTTAGCTTTTTTCCTATGAGAGCAGGTCATGGCAGCCTGCCTGCGCTCAAAAACAGCAGGCAGGCTGTTAGAAACTGACTGAAACCAGACTTAAAGTGTCTTTGATCATTGAGCATTAATTACTTCACAATAAAAGCAGTTAGATAAGTGAGCTAGGGCTTATTTTAAAGCTCGTTAGGAATATACAAATAATTCAATGTCTTTTAGTCCGGGCACAGGTGCACAGTATATGAAGAATAGTATCAAACATAAATGTTCCTATCAAACCTAGTGATCCAGTGCCCCCCATTTTTTATTCATTCAACAAATCACAACTTGAGGGTAGCTTGGTGACCATGCTGTATTGATTAACTGCAGTACAGAAAACTGATGTGACAAGTCTGCCTTTACTGACTGGACCACAAGACCGATATTTTTCCACACTTTAGCATCATCACAGTCTGGTGTTTATGTGCTGCACGCATGCCAGTTCTGGTTGTAGAGAATACTGGCCCTGCTCAAGATGATGGCTGGCATTGGTGCATGGGCAATGACTACCAGAAGGATTCAGACACTGCCCAGCTAAAGCAGGCCAGGTGACGGAAATGGGGAACAGTCTACATCTGGGGTCTGTTTTTATATTGCCCAAAATATACCCATTATTCATTTAGTAGTTTTTATACCCATTTTACATTAATGGGTAGTTGCCTCTAATGATAATTCTAGGTCTTGAGCACAGCTGTTTAGTGTAGAAAATGCTAGCTTCATTGATGCCGGATATTACAATTAGCACTCTGCTTCCAGCGCTGCGACTGAGAGTTCCGATTTTCATACATCGGGTCGTGCACCCTCCCTTTCCTCTCATCTCCCTCATTTACTGAATTGTAATGCGACAGAAGCCCTCTACAGAGCATGCTTAAAACAACATTTTCCTGGCACTCCACTTTAAGTAAAAATGTTTGTGCCTGTTGAGGCCTGCCTACTTCCTTCATATGCAAATTAGCTCCCCAGGCAATCCCAACAACCAAAATAAATAAGTTGTTTGGCAAATGTATTCTACAATCCCAGCATCTCCATGATCCGTGCCCCTAGTAGAGTTGCTGGTTGTTCTATTAGTCCCCAGGACCACAACACTGGACACAAATGTTTTTGTGAGTAAATCAAATCCTTTATAGGCATTTCAGCTGTGTTTTTAGATGAGTGCCTGGAGTTCAGCTTCAACATCAAAAACCAATTGCCAATAACTAATCTGCAGACATTAAAATAATGCATGCATGCTTTTTGAAAACAGGCTTAAAATGTAAGACCTGATCATAACAATTCCACTGCTCCCTTAAATATAAGCTGCTCATTAGAAAATTCTGGGGAGAATAGAAAGAGAAATAGAAAGGAAGAGAACACACTTTTATAAATGTGTCATATTAACAAAATTGTGTTTTTTCTTCATTTTTCTGTAAAATACTACCATATCTGACAAACTTAGTTACATAACCTGAAAAGCTGACTACAATGGACTTACACGACCAACACTAAAGAGGAAAGGGAAATCCATAGTGTAACTCTAGCCACCTGCAAAATAATGTGCATTTAGTTTTGGCGTGCCATCGGAAATCCTACTGTTCGTAATTTGAAATGTACTGCCGACCTATACTGTACCAGATTCATGTACGTAACAGCACCGCTACCATCTGAATCTACACAGTGTCTCTTAGTTACCTCCCAGAGTCTCTGGTGCAAGGCACTGACCTGGGACAAGGCAGCAAGATTAAACTCCAGACTTTACTAGTTGTATGCTGGTTCCAACTTCCTGACTCACTAGGAAGCAAAGCCAGAATTGGAATGATCACTCCGTAGCTTGCACCTAATGAGTCAGTAATGGCAGCTCACATAATTCTCTGTAATTTTGCAAATACTGTAAACGATGGTAAAGTAAGGGTCCAGCAGTAGTTTTTAAGGTATTGACCAGCAGGTGATGTGTGTTCATAGATTAAGGCCTGGTTCACACCTAGGCGTTTTATCATGTGGATTCAGTTGTGCAATAACACGCAAAACACAAATACCCATACAAAAAGTGCAAAAATATGCAGGAGCTTTTTTTAAGTGGATGTCGCGCGGTTTTGGTCCCATAGACAACTTTATGCATTGAGAGGCACACAGGTTTTAAAAGCAAAATCGCGCAAAAAAAAAAAGAACCGTGTGACAAAAGCTCAACAACCGCAATCTCCTAGGTGTGAACCAGGCAAAATGCAAAATGTCATTGCGATATCGGTTTGTGATTAAAAGATGATAATGTTCAGTGAAGTGCTTTTAATCGCATATTTGTTTATTTATGCTTTTACATGCAAAGAAAAGCAAAATCGAAAGTGACAAAATCTTTGTCAAAATATAAGAATACTGCCAGGGGATGCTTCAGTACACTGCAGCTACTATATATATATATATATTACACACACGTATATGTATATATGTATGTATGTATATATATCACCCAGAGTGCTATAATTTGTCCCAAATGCCTGTCACAGCTTGGTCTGCAAGAAGATGCATAGAAAGTATAAATAAAAGGAATGTGTGTCAGAATTGAGCTAAGTTAACCAATGGGCATCTACAAATTAAATAACCTCTGGTCACACTTCAAGTCAAATAAATTGTCATGCCCTTGAAAGAAAGAAAATGCATCTTTTGCTGCAACTCTTACATAGTCTCTGGTGCTGTCCACCACAGACACTCTCCGCTCGTCCACCAGATGACACGTTCTGGGTTGAATGATGCCCAGCCTCATTCCACCAACTTACTATGAGCCCACGATGTCACACACACCCACTAGAGTGCATCATCAAGCACCCCGGCTTACAGTATACGTTAGTGCCATTCTGTGTAGCATTAAGGATCACCCTCAGACAAGAAGAGCAAGGACCTGTGACACCACATGACCGGCTGGAAGACACTAGGAATTAAGCTATGTGTACTGTATTATTTTTCATACATACATATATATATTGTGTGTGTGATGTAGAGTTGAGCTTAAAATCATAACAACTGGAAATTGTTCTCCAGTTAAGAAGACATAACTTGCTCTGAACCAGTCTCTCTGACCCTTCTGTTAATTCAATAAAAAATACAATTCATTATGTAATAAGCAATGTAAATGTCAGTGCAAGATGGTTTTCCCTGTAATGTGTTCCTAAAGTGATTTTCTATTTATTGCTAAAATTTGCAACTTTTAGGATTCAACTGCTGCCCAATAATCTGGCAGATCTGGGTCTAGCAGATACATCAGTTCACATTTTTCTTAGCCGTCAAATCCTCTAGGGAATATTACACATTCAAAAAGTATTACTTAAGCTCTCATCTATCATTGCTGATCTGAGATTTTCACCGATTTCAATTTCGCCTTACAATGCGTGGCCTTTTTTTTTTAATCTCTTTTTATGTTAGTACTTCCATTTTTAGAAGGTTGGTCATTAATATTAGGGAATATACAATGGGTTTGTGTATAATTATACTATAAAGTAATTTCTCATAAAATACCTGTCGTAGATGAGTCCATCGATGCCATGTTTTCTCAACAGCATCCGGTTGTCTGGGTCATTGGTATCATCCCCCCAGCAGAACACAACCAAACCTTTTGATTTAGCCTCCTGTATGTAATGTGGATTTTTCAGCAGATCTTCTGTGTGAACATTTATTCCCTGTTCATCAGAAAAAAATAAAAAATTTAGTCAACGAGTAAATACTTTGTAACCAGAAGCTCTTGCTGAAAGTGTTTTTTCCTGCGCCATATAGGTGTAGTGACATAATGGTATCAATTTTATTTATATTTTAGTATTTCGGAATATATAAAAGATATGCAAAAACTCTATTCATATCTTTTAAAAAGGCAAATGTCACAAACAGTAAGTACCCGTCTCAAAAGTCTGAAATGGAAGCTGTCACTCTAACACACAAACAAAACACCAGTCCCATGGCAGTGCCATCACTTGAAGAAATTGTTATGGACTTAGCCATTTTAATTGTCCTGAATGTGTGAACTTGTATGCGATCTGTGAATCCTGGAATAGCAGCTTCTGTAAGTCTACAGAGACAGGGGTTCACCTCTGTGAGATTTCCTTTTCCTTCTAGTTATGTAGAATTACCTGCACCAATTACTTACCAGAATATTTTCAAACTGAGCAAAGCTTATTGCAAATGGGGTTGACCGTGATCTTATATCCATAAGCTCTGGATATATTTGCGATTGCCCTTGCGTCAGAAAAAGGATGGGATATTTATTTTGTTTGAGACGGACCCTTAAAAAGAGAAGGTAAAAAATTATATTTTTAAAAATAAAATGTCTCACATACAACGCAATATATACATAAAAAATGTAAAGCAGCCACCACTCCAAGCTTGCTCCCATGACGGACTACAATCTCATGTTTTGTTTGCTAATGTGTATTGAGATCATAGTCCATGAGAGCAAGATTGCTCTCATGGTGGTGGCTACTTTATAACACACACAGGGACATGGGGAACAGAAGTAGCCACCCTCCAGAAGGAAGGACAGTGTCAGCACCAATTCAGAGATGATCTGAGGATCACAAATAAGGTCCAGTATTGTTAATAGTTAAGGTGCCCATACACCTTACGATTCTCGGACGAAACTTTTCGTCCGATGATCGAACCGTCGTACGATTTTGTACGACGGCCCCATCCTGCCCCGATTATTGCAAGGTTCAATCAGCGGTAGTTAGAAAAAAAACCCTGGCCGACTTGCGGTAATTGACCATAATTATTTTCGTTTGCGCAGTGTTAATCGTGCGACTTTTGACGGACGGAAACGCCACCAACCATGCGAACATCGTACGATCGACCAAAGTTTTCAAACATGCTTGACCGTCAAAAGTCGTACGATTGTACAGTACTATCGGTCGGGCACTACATTCACACGTTACGATTGTCGTACGAAAAGCATACGCTCATCATACGATAATCGTAAGGTGTATGGGCACCTTTAGAGTACTTGAATGCATTTTTAAGATTTAACTCCTGAGTTTAGTGTCACTAAGTCTCTAATTTGCTTGATAAACGCACCCAGTGTTTAGGAAATACAAGCTGTGAATCTTTTTTAACAATACCATACTGCCCTTGAATAGATGTTGTGGTTGAGGAAAGGAATTGTGATTGCTTTAAACATTCAATAAGTAAGGCATTCACTTACAGGACTGCCAAGGAAAACAGAATTTGCCTAAAAAAGGCCTTTACATTGTCATCCTGGCATTTATCTGCTGGTTCTTGCTGCCCCTCTCACCTCAACAAATAACTGTATCATCATCTCCAGAGTTCCCATGGATCAGAGCTTGTGAAAAGGCATACTACCCTGTTCACCAAATTCTGCCCTCTCTCTGAGCCCAATGTAGTCTCACCCAGAGATATCCGAGCTTAAAGGGAAAGAGTGCAAACCACATGACCAAGACAATGCTGCAGTGCTGCTTACAGCAGCAAGAAAAGTCTGTCTGAAATACACAATGTATAGTTCAGATTTATTAGCAAATTGCCCAGGATTTCTTCTATTACCAGGTTAGCGATAGCAGTGACCTTATTGATTACACATATTGTCAGTGATTTCACTTTAATTCTAATGAGAAGAAATGTTATACAACTTACATTGTGCAAATATCTGCATCAAACGAGGAGAACACAATCCTTCGATGGCCAGCATTTTCCAGGACAGTCTTCAGGATGATATCCAAGAAGAGGTTCATGTCAAAGTAGCTAGATAAATTACCGTCCCATTTACCACTCTATAAAAGTAAAAGAAGAAATCTACAGTAAAAGTTGCATTTACAAAACTAAAATCTAATCCCTAGTTGCATCGAAAACGTCCGGGAATTGATTTTTATATATCCTGAGAGAGAACATCCAACTACAGCACTGGTTTTCAAGCTTTTACTGAGACTACTAGGACACACGGATGTTTTTTTCTTTGTATCCAGATGTTGAACAGGCTGAAAAGAATGTGACAGGCTGTTGAAAGTACTGGATTTATATACAGTATCCACAGCCCCATGTTATGCTCTGAATCCTCAGGGCTTAATAGTTGGCTCTGTTCATTTAAAAAGAATCCTGTGCTCACTCCTACCGCATGGCAGCTGAAAAATGTAATCGGGATGTACATAACAAAGATGCTATGCTTATTAGTCCCCTATGTGATAGCAATAAAGAAAAAAAAAATGTTCCCCCGCCCCCACGTACACAGAAACTTAAACAAACGTTGGGTGCGCCTTATATGTGAAAATGCGTCATATCACAGGTTACATATCGCCACGAACATCAGAGTGCGCATAATAATTCAAGAGCCACCAAGCACTGTTAACACTAAATTGATCAGCGATAAAAGCTTTTAAAGCTCCGTCTATGTGCAATTTTGGGTATTATATTGTGATTTTGCAGGGCTTGACATGTTTGGCCTCTATTTACCCAAATGTGACGCCATCTTTTATATTTTACAAAAAAATTGGGTAATAAAATGTTTCATAGCGTTGGAAATGCCAGTAAAATTACCTTTGCTGAAAACTGAAAATTGGCCTGGACATGAAGGGGGTTAAACACCCCCGGTCTTCAAGTGCTTAAAGTATATTTGAAGCCAAAACTTGTTTTTCTTCGTTTTGGATTGAGTAGAGAATAGTTAAAACCCCTGCAAGGTTCTCTACGTCATTCTCCACATATTTTGCAGGTTTAGCATACTGAACTCCTAGAGCAGTAAAGACGGACACATCTGTTAAACAATGGCCCACCTGCAGTCAAGGATCGGCTATCCAGAACTGCATACTAATGTTATAATAAAGTGTATGTAACCACCAACAATGAACTTCTTATTTTCTCCCTTTTTGGTCTTTTTAATATTTAAAGCAAAAGCGTTTTGTTTGATTTGTTAAATCCTAAGAAAAAAACAAAACCTGTTGATCTTGTCAGAAATTCAGAGCTGTCCTGTGTCCTCTGCACATTCCTTGTGTTATCTCAAAGTGTTTTTAGTGTTCGCAGCGCTTTTCATGAAGACAGCGACAGTGGTTGAATATATTAGCAAAAGACAAACAGGACACCAAATCACTGAGTCAACAGGCCACAATAGAAAATTAGGAGCCGAGGGTGATGGTCTCAAATTAAGGGTATTTTTCTGTACTTGCATTGTCTTTAATCACTTGCTGACCGAACAGGTGTTTACACCCCCTTCCTGGCCAGGCCATTTTTCAGTATTCAGCGCTGCAGTACTTTGACATTTATTCCGTCATGCAACGCTGTACTGAAATTAATTTTATACCATTTTTTGGGGACAGGTAGAGCTTTCTTTTGGTGGTATATAATCACCACTGGGGGTTTTATTTTTTACTATATTAAGAAAAAATTACTGATTTTTTTTTTTACATTGTTATAATACATTTATTCTTACCCAATTTTTGGGGTAAAATATAAAAGACTGGGTCACATCGGGTAAATAGACACCAAACATGTCAAGCTTTAAAATTGCCCGCACCCACCAATATCACAAACAACTACCATACCCAAAATTGACCATAGGTGACGCTTTAAAAGCTTTTACCGCTCATCAGTTTAGTGTTGTCAGTGATTAATGGCCCTAGAATTATTGCTCTCACTGCGATGTTCGCGGCGATATGCAACATGCGCGGCGTAATGGGCACAATCGTAGTTTTCGCACCCGACGCATGTTTGCACGCATGTATGTATGGATGGGGACTTTTAAAAAAAATCTGTATTTTTCTTTATTCTTTTTCATGCGCAACCTTAATTTTGTTTCCTATTTTTTCACTTAACTTTATTGTTATCACATAGGGGGGCTAAGAAACCCCCTTATGTGATAGCAAAGATATGTGACAAGTCCTCTTTGTGGAGACATCAGGGGTCTCCAAGATCCCTAATGTCACCTAGGGACCCCCAAAGAAGCTGATGAAGCAGAAATCTGATTCAGCTTCTCTCCAGTGTCTGAAGCTGGAGAGTAACACAAGAATGCGGAAGTGATGTAATATACATCACTTCCGCATTCTGACAGCGGAGAGGGGACCGGAGAGAGATTGTGTACCGATCCTCCCTCTGATCCCGTCACAGAGAAACTATGCTGGTCCCGGGCTCGCACCAGGCACAACGGAGCCCGGGACCAGTGTGACAGCGAGAGGGGGGGGGGACACACACGGACCGGCAGCTTATACCAGCGACCCGCTGGCTCTATAGCCGGCAGATCGCTTGTATGTTAACAGGCATCGCTGCCTGTTTTAAAATTTCAGTCGTTTCCCGCACGCACGAGTGGGCGGTGCTAACAGGCCGTATATACTCTCGGCCGGCCGATTTTTAACAACGGCAGGCGGTTAAATGGGTAAAACATGGGCAATGTGCATGTACTGCAGAGATGTCCTACACTTTTCTTCTGCTTGACATACACTTTAAGCTGCCTTTATGCAGTTTACTTACTTTTTCTTGGCAGATCCACTTAATTTCAATATTGAACCCAACATTTTCAGGCACAGATTCAAGCACCTTTGATAAGAAGAAAAGTTAACAGTTAGCCATAATTACCATCAACAGAGCTAATACATCTGGGACTTCATAGAAGTCCCAAATTCTAAAAATAAACTTCTTCTGAATAAGAGTCTTTCTTAGAAAACAAAACTGCACAGTGAATGAAAGCTTTCCTAATACTGTAACTCCCAAAAGCTTATAACCGCTAACCAAGTTCAATAGAAGAACTAACTATCTTGATGCAAAAAATGAACATCTTCTCTGTGGTCCCACCAAAACCACACAGCTATTACAAGCACCCATCACTTTTCCTGGTGGGTGTGTGTGTGTGTGGGTGTGTGTGTGTGTGGGTGTGTGTATGTGTGAACCTAGGCAGTAGCATGGTACATTTGACAAGACAATACACAACGTACACAGGTACTATTATAATATTTGAATGCTTTTTTTAGATATGAAAGTAAAAGTGATCCGTTTGCTGTCGGTAACCTTATCAAAGGTACATTTCTACATGTAGACTAGTTTGCAAGTGTATAATGTATGTACATGGGGATGGTCATCTTTGCTCAGTTATGTAGGCTTTGCTTCTTGCTTTGCAGTGCTACACAACAGTTCTGCTTCACTGCTCCTTCTCACAATGCAAACCTATAACTTGCCATACACCTTGGAATCCGATTATGAATTGTCAATTAAATCTGCTTTTGGAGTTACTAAAACTATGCAGTAGCAACCCTACCTATACAATCCACTCCATTTGTATCTAGTCAGGTAGGTCCTTGTACGACATACAATCACTGGTTGATAAAAATAAGAGATTGTTCAATCAGACTGGAAGGTGTATGACCAACTTATGAGTTGCCAACTTCATTAAACACCAGGCACTCCCTGTGGCCTATATTTTAACATAGTTAAAAAGAAAAGTCAGAATAATTTTAGTAGCCATTTGATCCTGTCTCTAGTGATTACAGATCTCTACATTTGATACATTTTGGTATCTCCCTTTACAGATGATACATTTGTCAGACCTACCGTCAAAGAACTTCAGGATAACTTTTCCTTACCCCAGCACTCCAAGAGTTTAAGTGCTCGTTCTTTTGTCTAGGTGCTAAAATTACAAAAGTTATACTCACCCAAAGCGCCAAACTGGCTTGCTGTCACAGTGCTCCCTCTTGCCTGTCTCCCCCTCCATTGCAGCAATAGAATCTTCCTAAGTGTCCTCACGTCTATACATTGTGTATAGACATGATGATTTAAAAGACCTTAGACCGTTGGAGAGGAGGGGGAGAGAGGCTGGATGGATCGGTCTAAGAGCAAGCTTGGAGATGCTTGGAGCATCTGGCGAGTATAATTTTTTTCTTTTTAAACCTAGACAAAAATGAGATGAAATACAACGCAATACAATGGCAAAATATTGTCGGTGACGTTTGGAACACTCCGCTTTACCGTTTGAAGGGAAGGAAAAGGCTGGTTGTCCGATACAGAACATTCTTCATCTACGGAGTCTAAAAAAAAAGTTAGAAAAAGGCCCCAGTCATTTATTTTCAGGGTAATGGAAAAACACAGGGCTGTAGGGATTTGGAGGGGTCGAGGGAGAAGAGGTTAAATGAGAAATGCAAGAAAGAAAATATTCATCAACTTAATCACATTGAAGGGTTGTTCTACCAAAAAGGATCTTTTGTGTTACTGAAGAGATAGTTACGTACAAGTATAAAAGGTGTGTCAACATCACTTTGATTTTTACTTACTACATGCTTGCTCAGGATAAGAAACTACTAGATCACCAGGACAACTGCAACAAGCACGTTTAGCAGGAGGTCAGCGGATAACAGCCTATGAGTGTTTATCACGTTTTATTAGATCGCTGCAATGGGCGCAGCTGAAGGCATCGTTCTCCTGACTGTGTAGAGCCCACCCATGTAGGTTTGGTCTTAAAGTGAAACTAAACTCAGGAGTTAAATCTTAAAAATGCATTCAAGTACCATATTAACAATACTGTATCTTATTTGTGTATCGCTCAGCTGTAAATCCTCAAATCATCTCTGAATTGGTGCAAACACTGTCCTTCCCTCTGGGGGGTGGCTACTTTTGTTCCCCATGGCCCCCATGTGTGCTGTAAAGTAGCCACTGCGCCAAGCTCACTCCTGTGATGGACTACAATCTCATGTTTAGTTTACTAGTATAGTCCATCACAGGAGTGAGCTTGGAGCGGTGGCTACTTTACAACACACACACACACACACACACACACACACACACACACACAAGGACCATGGTAGCCACCCTACAGAAGGAAGGACAGTGTCAGCACCAATTCAGGGATGATTTGAGGATTTACAGCTGAGTGATACACAAATAAGGTTCAGTATTGTTAATAGTTAGGGTACTTGATTGCATTTTTAAGATTCAACTCCTGAGTGTAGTGTCACTTAAACCTGACCATACATCATACAATCTCTTTATAATCTACCAGCTCTGTAGTGCAAAGGCCTGAGTGAATGGATACAAATGGAAATCATTTATTTAGGCTTATTCTAATATTACATAGTTTTGGTATATCTAAAAGAGATTTGGCAGAGATTGTACAGTCACACTGTAACTTGTACAGACAGCTTTAGTCAGTTGGAAGGTCAGCTAAAAGCCCCGAGGTGATGTGAGCACTACGTTGTTAGTTTCCATCAGCTAAGCAGTTAACAGCTAGAGAGAACTTTTTAGAACATTGCATTCCTTCTTGTAATGGTTTCCGTGGTCTTGCATGTGATAAGTCATAATCTATTTACCAATGCAATGAATACAACTGATTACTTTTCAAGATGAAGACATGCAAACAAATTAGCGAAAGGAAAAAAACTTTCCCAAAACACAAGAATTAGTAGGTATATTACTACATACCATGATGATCTTGGAACTTAAGTGCAGTCACGTGTGCCAGCTTAAAAATAAAAAACACAACATATAAAAGCACACTAAATATGGTAAATACATTGATTGTAAAGATACTATATTTTAAAAGGCTTTAGTTACACACTCAATATTGTTGTCTTTGGTACTTTACCTAAAACTAAAGTCTATCCAAGTTTCTATACTGTTGTACATCTCATAATTGCACTGCAGGTACTATTTTTCCTTCACACTTTCCAACATAAAATGTATTAACTTTAAGAAAAGTTAGACCAATGAGAAGCGCTTCTGACCACACTGACCAATGAGAAGCGCTTCTTGCTAAGAAGCACTTCTTATTGGTCAGCGCCATCACATGAGGGGGCAGATTGGTGGGGGTAATTCCATTTTCATAAATTCACCTGAGAAAGTGGTTTACCCTTTAAAGGCGTTATCCAAATCCTAGGATACACAATCCCTAGTTCCAAATGTGCTCAGGGTGAGATATAGAGATATGCACTTACATAGCAGCACCCCAGATGTCCTGTGTAAATGACGCTAGTGCAGAGGTAGGCAACCTTGGCGCTCCAGCTGCTGTCAAACAACAAAGCCCATCATACCTATGCCTCTGAAAGTCATGACTGTGGTTGTCAGAATCTTGCAATGCCTCAACTATACCTTGCAGTTGTTTCCCCACAGCTGGAGTGCCGAGGTTGCCTACCCCTTAGTATGTAGCAGTGGATCAGGTGGACACTAAACTGCTAGAAAGGCCATAAAGTATAAGGGTTTAACGGAGCTCCTCATTTCAAGACTGCTTGACCTCTCATTAGTGGTACTTTAAGCTAAAATCCTGGCTACATACAAAAGGAATGTGTATTCTTACTTGAATTATGTATAATTATACTTTGTGTATTCTTTCCAGATGTGCGAGATCATCCAGCATGACGCAACTCCTGCACTGTGCCTCTATGTAGGAGTTTCCTGTAATAAAGACTAGTTCCTGCTTCTCTCTCCCTGTGCAAGGTGACTGGTCTTGTATCTGCCCCCCTCCTGCAGTTTTTTTGCAGGCAGCCTGTAATCGGTGGGCTTGATTAGTCCCTCCTACAACTCTGCACAGAGATTTCACTCTTACAACTTGATTATAATAATAAATGTAACAGTTTGTGCAGTGCTTTACAAATGCATGTGCGAATATCTGAGTTTGCAAAGGCATATGGTGCACACAAAGTTAATTTATATCTTTTGAGGGTTTTAGAGGAACATATTTAAATTAAAATTTTAGCTCCTAGTGTTTCCTTTCTGTGTCTTTTAGGCAGTATATCTATGCAAGTGTAAGTACTTTTATCTTTAATTCAACAGGTTAAAAAATTATACTGCGTCAGTGTGGTCTCCCTTACTCAGAGGTTCTTCCCAGTATTACTACTAGATATACAAGAATGTTATTTACCTTTAGGAGTTGAAGCTGATCATATGTGAGCTCCTTCACAGGGATCTCAAACAGCTCCAAGGACATGGCATTAGCTTTCTACCAAAAAAAAAGAGGTTTCATTAAAAGTTAAGCCGAGGTAAAAGCTTCTGTTTGTGTAATTCAGAAGCACAGTTTAACTAGAGATTAACATCAAGGTCAGTACATTACTAAGGATGAGCCAAATCTAAGTATCCAGGGGGGAAAAAAAGTGGAGAAGGGAATTGGAAGATAAAATGTTTCCAGGGAGCAGAAATCAAAGCAACAAGAGGAAACCGTTAATCAATACCTTTTTCATAGATAAACAGCATGTGAGGTCATGATATATCACTGGCACATGGTCTTTGGATAGGTGTACATCAAATTCAACATAGGCTGCGCCCTAAGGGAGAAACATATTTAAATGTGATCAATTAACTTTTTCTTTTGATTAATACACACACATTGATAGCCTATGATTTTTATTTACGGCATCTAAGAACTATACAATTAAAACCGAACAAGCCAAAACTATAACCAACTTTCCTTTGCTATTTGTGCGGAGGGCAGTGTATTGCTTAAAAGGTCAGTCAACCTAAAGTAGGGTATACACGTAGCGAATTTCGGCAGATTCAGCAAATTTGTGTCGTGTGTACCCTGTTCTAGTGACAGAAGCTGATTATTAGATCGACTTTTGCCAAATAAACATGTTGGAAAATCTTCGGTCGAATGGTGCTGGCAGCCAATTGGTCACTGGCAGAATACAATGTAAACAGTGCGGAGTTCATCCATCCGCACTGTTCAGCATGGATGGAGGAATCCGTTATATTGTCTTTGTTCAGCCTGCAGCAGGTTAAACAAAGAAAATATAAAAGTGTGTACCCGGCAAAAAAAATAAATGTATAGCATCTATTAAACACTGAAACGTCAAAGTGGACCTGAACTCAAAAAATAAACTTTACAATACTATAGAACATCTAGAAATCTTGTTGCTTAGAATTCCTCCTGAAACATAGCAGTGCCCTTCATGTGCCTCGAGTCTCAATGCGGTGTATTTGCAGCGCGAGACAAAGGCACTGTGCCTCTCGCTGCTAGTTTTATAAAAGGTGCCCATACACTCTACAACCCTGGCAAGACTTTTGTCTTGCCAGGGTTGTAAAGTACTTAAAAAAAAAAAAAACATACGATCTGCCCATCTTGGACAGGCATTATGATGACTGCAATGAGGGGCGGGCTTACGATGACTGCAAACGGGCTGTGTGCACGTGCGCACACCGGCCCGTTCGGCAGTTATCGAACCAGCAGGCCACTAACTGGCCGAGAATTGTACGATTCCCGGCGGGTTTTCTAGCCTGCTGGTTCGACGGAAGACGTGCGACCGTACAGTAGAAACGGTCGCACGCCTTCCATACACTGCACGATTCTTGTACGATCGCGGGATTTCCCACGATTCTCGGACGAGAATCGTGCATTGTATGGGCACCTTAAGACGTGGAGTGAGATTTGATGGTGATGTTACTACTGTTCTCCTTACTGGAGAGGAAGCTGTACCCAGGGATCTGCAGTACAAGGATCTCCCTGCTTCGGTTATATTCATTCTGTGAATATGTGCCCTCTGCACCGTTCCAGCTGCTATTCCACCAGTCACCAGATTAACAGTTATCAAGGGGGCAGCTCTGACATGACGAAGCAAATCCCTGCTCCTCTAACAAGATGGCCACCTCCAAAAAGAGACCGTAGATAAC